GACACTTGATCAAATTGGTTATGTATGGAGGTGAATGAACCAGAAAATTGGAGTTGCAGTAAGCTGTATGATGGTGTCCATTACTAATGCAGCAATATTCCATATATGGTTTACTATGGTGACAAGACCACTAATCATTTGCATATTTTTAAATCCGCAGCCTCGCTCATGACGTTGAATGTCATCTCATAAATGTTTCATTTCATTGCAGGCTTTCAGCACGAAAAAACACCAATGAGAAACCTTTAACCAAATAGAATTTTTTAGAATAGCATGCAAGAACTCCTTCAAAAATGTACCCTTTTCTTAGTGCAGCAAAGACAAATTTACATTGTTTTAGAACAGGACTGAGAAACACTGAATTTATTTTGACTTCAAAATCACATGGAACCAGAATCCTTGGTTATACAAATTTATTACTGTACAGTAATTACACTCCCCTTTAAACCCATAGTTGTTGAATTGCTTCTCTTTTTATACCATGAAACATCACAACATTCATGGAGAGTGAGCACTGTACATTTTCAACACTTCATGTTTATTCAGTGTCATGTTTATTGTTTGGAATCGTGGCGGGTAACAGATCTACCTTCCATTGCTGAAAATACACTTTTCCTTGTGGCATGAACTGCAACGTATACATTGTACCAAAGTACGCAGACAAAAGTTTTTTTTTTTCAATTCCTACAATTGTCTTGATTCACAATTATAATGCATTAAATATGACAGCATTTGAAGTCGGTGAATACAAGTACATGTACTGCAAGATACTTTATTTTTGTTTGGAATTCCGTTTCAGCGAAAAATAAAATCCAGCGAATATACCCCATTATAAACAAGTCATTGAAAATGACAGTCCCTGTTAAATTTTGGAAAGTTCTCTTTGTGCTTGTCATATTAAGCAGAGGGGTTGTCGCGAGCCTGTCCTTGAAACTTGAGTTCCAAGTGGCGTACACAACAGATTATTTACATCAAAACACGTGTTCCGTGTAGTAGTAATATGGCCAAAAATAAAAACGGCCGTTATTCGTCCATCTTTGATCTGATTATGAAACACACTGATATGTATAATGTATGTGCCAATACGAATGAAAATAGTACATAAATTGTGGAAATATAGTAGTAAGACCAAAAAGTCAGATGGCTGTCAATCGACCATCCTTGACCAGATTTTGAAACAAATTGTCATGGACATGCATCCTAACATGTATAAAGTACATGTATGTACCAAGTTTGAATGACAACTGACAAAGCATGTCCAAAATACAACATTTTCAAAAAACAAGATGGTTGCCAGTCGACCATTTTGAATCGAATCGCTATGTGCATATGTCCCACATAAAGTACTAGGCACATGCAAAGAATGAACGGAATCGGCCCAAGGGATTCTGAGATATGACTCCGGACGAACGCATGGACGCACAGACCGAATTATAAGTCCCCGTTTTCAGACTTTGTCCGAACGGGGACTAATTATATTCACCTCGTCAAAAATCAGTGAAAACTAAATTTCATACAAAACACAGAAAATTAATTCCAGCTAAAATAAAGCAACAAATACTTATTATTTTTGAATAGTTTGAATGAAAAGGTTTAACAGCACAGTTAAATCTTCTGAAATAACTTTAGATCAATTTTGTTTTGGCAGATAAATATGGTGACAATTATCAAAATCATAGTTATGAAAATAAGAGAAAATTTTCCTTTCAAGAAATTAAATATATTTAGGTATAAAATGCACTGATTTGCCCCAGTGAATAAGCAAAGTTAACAATTGAATTCTTTTTAAAATCAGTGATAGTAAAACCTAGAGAATATATCTGGAACATCCTATCTGCTAAATTTAATCACACACAGTTTGGTGATCAGTGTGCACCTCTATGCTGATATGACAGGCAAATGACACAAAGATTTGCTGTGGTTAGTTATGCGAATCCACTGGTGTGTCATCGATGCAGCAGAAATCGTACAATGATATTGTTTGCAAGTTGAAAAAGTTGTTTATAAACAAATAAGTAGAAATTAATGAAATTAGATTCCACAACATTTTCGTCTGTGCCTTAAGTCACCTATGCAGCTACTGGTACATACAATTTTATTATTTTTTTTAGAAGGCCGAACAAGCTGACTCAACATTATTTGGGGTTATTCCATTTTGACTCTGAAGCTCTACAACATTAATTCTATAGAGGGTACCACTGGTGGTAATACCAATGAAAAACCAAAGTTTTCAACACTCGTACACACACTATCAGCAATGTTCATCAGTAGATACCACAGTTGTTGGCGAAGGCAGATCACAGAAATGAATGGCAAGGGGGTGTTAGATAGACACAAGCTTGCTAACACATCAATAGGAGTTGGTACTAAACAATACAATGCCAGTCGTACTGTCAATGTGTAGAATTCAGTGTTGTATCGTTAAAATGCACATACATTGGTAAGCTCATGTGCAGAATCCATTCTATCACCCCGTCAAGTTTTCAACTTTGTCAAACTGACTACGGGATGTCCTATATACATGTTTTTGTAGGAAATTCACACACTGTCTTGAAGTTAAAAGTAATGTTTATTCCAGCCCTTCTTTTTTCTCTCTGACAGCAACCTGTAGGAATAAGAGTAGGTAAGCATTAACTGGTGAACATTTACTATCTCTTCAGTCATTCTTTGAACGATTATGTTTAACTAAATATTGCTACTTTGAATAAGTATTCCGCCATGACTGTCAGTCCGATCAGGTCCGAGTTGAAATGCGTTGTGGGTCCAATGACTGCGACTAGAAGTCTGGGTGCATCGCAAATGTATCAAAACAAACTTGATTGTAGCAAAACAACTTCAACAACATTGGAAGCAATTGCTGTACATTTACCGACAATGTTGATACTAACTTGCTGTAGTGTAGCAATATTTAGTTAAACATAATCGTTCAAAGAATGACTGAAACGATAGTAATCTTTATCTGGTCAAGTCATTGTAAAAGTATATGATCTGACAAGAGATTGCCTAGCTAAGGTGGAGGATGATGTTATCAGAAAAAAGGTTTGAGTTGAAAAAAAAATTGACTTGTATGCATTATCCTTTGTTTAATTTGTACAACTTTTTTTATTATGAATATTGTCAAGAGGGCGCTGTTTGAAATGCACTTGGGAATAGGATGCACAGTAATAATAATGTTCAAAATAGTTGCTTACAAATCACAAGATTAATTGAAGTGAACACAAAGCACTAGAAACATAAGAAAACACTCACTGTACATTTTTAAATCCATTTAAAAGAGCAACAGGGAATAGGTGATTTTTCGTTCACTGTGAGGTCTTGCCTATTGTTTTAAATGTATGCATGATAATGCATGATAAATAAAACTTATCATAAACACACCTCTATCATTTGTGTAAGAACATGCGTTATCTGTCGATATGTGAAAAACCTGACCCATATTTGCTTCATTAGATGCACAAAACATTTTGAGATGACAACTTCAAGTTGGGACAAAAACCAAAACAGTCTCCCTTTTAGAGATAACATTCAATTATGTGAATTATTAGATGTGTTTCTAATAGAGCAAATATGGCTTAATATTTTTCTAGCATGTACCTTAAATCTTTCTTCTAAAAGCGACACTTCACTGATGAGATCTGTAATAGCGTTAGTAAATGCCTCTTGTGGACTGTAATCTGGTGTAGTCTGTACTCGTAAAACAAATTTAAACTCTAACGGATGTGGTACTTTGTAACCAGCGAATAAGACTTGTGGATCTTTTAGCAGCTGACTGTAATTACAAATAAAATCTATTAATTTGATGGAATTTAAAGTTTTAGTATTACATTGAATTTCATGAAGGCATATATATTTTTATATTAAATAATGATAATTTTAAATGACAATTGAAAACAGCTTCATCAATTACAACGCATTAACGGATACCTGTACATGGTAGTAAATCCGTCAATGATGGAAAGAAATTCGCAGACTTGTGGGAAAATGGCTTCCCTAGCCAAACCACAGCCAATGTAACAATGGACATGCACTTAGAGGCACGTACTATTTATTCAAATATTGTGATGATTTGTATGTTCATTATCTCATTAAATCAGTTTGTCCACAATCATAACAATATTAT